AAAAGTTAGTTTCTTCGTTGTGAATGTTGATTTTATGCAATAACATATTAACATTTTGCAGGTTTTTCCAATTTTAATAAAGTCATGCACTGTATACATAATGTAGTACACTTATCTGTACTACATTAGGTTAATGTCCAGATACGTGGACCGTCATGGCGGCACTTCCTGTTTCAGCCTCGAAACCAGACGGTTTGCAGACGTGTCACGTGACGCACCGACGCACGTTCTAATCTAACCTAACCTATTCTAATAAATTAGCATAATTATTACCAATTATATTATTAGAATAGGTTAGGTTAGGTTAGAACTGTGTCCTTTTCTTTGCTGGGATCAGCGATGAGGCGCCATGACAGCCGCCGACGTTCGCTCGCGTCGTCACGTGACACGTCGTCTGCAAACCGTCTGGTTTCGAGGCTGAAACAGGAAGTGCCGCCATGACGGTCCACGTATCTGGACATTAACCCTACATTATTTATTTTTCAAAACTTAGCTGTCTAAAAGATAAGAAGATAAAGTGTTAGTGAATAAGTTCAATAATAAATTACAAAGATTGCTTAGTTTTTAAGAATAAATAATTAATCGGTAATCTAACTTGCCAAATTGCTTTCAGGTTACATTTTAATTTTATTAAATAGTATAATTTGCCTTAAAAGTATACAATTAAGACTCCGTCTTGAACCATAATTAATACATTCAATCCCTAGCTTACCGGAAACGTCGCCATCTTGGAACCTAAGGTAACATTAACCCAAATAAATAATAAATGTAATAGTGTAATGGGCATACATGTTCTACATAACAATAGCTGATAAGTTTATTCGTGTTTCACTTGGGCTTACGCCAATAGCACCCAAAACTAAAAATGAAACTAACTTTCCGAGAAGTTGATTGACCGGAATATTCATTTTAATTTTTTAATTTTATTATAAATATGTAGTGGATTGATAATAAATAAAAAAATTAACATAACAGAAATTCAATACAAAAAGTTATATACTTTTGTATGTGGTTGTCTGTGTTTCTGTGAATCTTTGTGTTAATGAAATACTATAATTAATTAATTAAAATATTAAGTGTTGATTTAAAGTGCAGTAGGGGAGGATGGGGTAACTTTGGCATATGGGGCAAGTTTGTCAATTAAATTTTCATTTAAACAAAATAAAGGAGATTCTCTTTAGAGGCTAGTCAGTTGAGTTTTAATGACAGCTTGTTGAGTGTGGTGTCTGTGTTGTTCTCTGGCAAATGTAGTTGAAATATCAAATAAGTTGTCTGTTTCATTCAATTTCTTATAACATTTTGCTTCCATTTATGTAGAGTTGGCATGTTTTGTTATAATTCCATAATAACGAAAGTTATTTTTCCCGTTAGAAGGATAAAACATTAATTTATTCACGTGGCCAGATCATGGCTTGGTACTCTATTTTCAGGGTTTCACTTAATGTTTCTAAATCATGACTATTGGGGCAACTTTGGCAGTGTTGCCAATCTTGTTCCTGATCGTGTTTTGCTATGGTTTGATTTGGTCGCAAACAACAATAAGTGGAAGAAATAACTGGATCCCCATACAAAGCCACATTAGAAACCAAGGCTAAAGTTAAAAAATCAGGAACTTGCAGAAGGGCAATGAATTTGGAGAAATTGGATTTGAAGTTCACTAAAGAAAAGGGGCAGCAAAGTCCTGAAGAACTGGAAAATAATGATGAAAATACTTATTGCATATATTGCAATAAACAATATGAAACTACTCAGGAAAAGTGGATTATGGGCTGCAAGTGTGAACTGTGGGCTCATGTGGCTCTACATATGTGGAAAATGAATTAGTTCAATTTATTTGTGATATGTGTAGGGCATAAACAATTTGCTGTTAAGCATATTTCATTTCTACTGAGTTTGTTTGAGTTCACTAATTCATTTATATTGCTTTTAACTTGCATTAGGATGTTTTCTTTTATTATCTGTTTGATTTTTTTTAGTAATTAATTTTTGTTTACATTTTATTTACTTAAATATGCCTTTGAACTTGTATATTAAATAGGTTTTTGGACTTGTATTTCTTTGTTTTAATAGTGAATTCCAACTTATATATTGTTAACACAAATTTATTGATATGTACCTGCCTGTCTTACCTGATTACTGTTGCCGAAGTTGCCCTCATACAGGGGCAACCTTGGCAACAGCTTTGCTATCATTGCTATCTTTTCATAAAGTTATTATTTTTATGATTATTTTTATTTCCAAACTGATTTTAACCAGTTCTATGGTAAGTTTACATTCTGGTAGACAATAAACAATGCTTTTCTTTCAGTTTATAGTGGTATTTGTTACAAAAAATTTAACTTATTCTTATCATGCTGAAGTTGCCCCGTTCTCCCCTACATCTAAACAGTTTTATCATATTGTATTGTGGTACTGTACATATGAGCAATAATTTGTTACAATATACGTATATGATATTAAATAGTCTTATGTGCAAACTTGGGAATAGTATCCCATTAACTTCATTATTTATGTTTGTTTTATGACAAGAGTCTCTGAGAAAAAAACATTTAAGTTGGGAACTATTGAAATTAGAATTAATTTTAAATTTAAAAATTTTTGTTCCAAAGTAATCCATCAGTTTAGATTTCTGAATGACTGAAAAGATTGACATGAATTTTCTCAATAACTTGATACTTCAATAAGTTAAATATATTTTTGAGTAAATGAATTCATTTTGAAATCTTCATCTTAATTACCATATTGATTTTTAATAGTTATATCATTTTGTTTCAGATAATTTACTCTTAATTACATTTTATTAAATAGTAGTAATAATAGACGCATATAATTACTATTAAAAGCATTTTTAGTTAAACCTAATGTAATTTAATGTCAACTATTTTTAACATTATCATTATAGATCTGTTTATAATTTTATTTATTGATTGTCTATAATATTACATTGTTTTTTATTTATTTATTTTACAGTACAAGTATGCAAATATATGATACCAATGGATATTAAATTAGAAAATCTTGAACTTGTTCACTTAGGAAGAGAGTCAAAATTTGATTTAATTCCTGAAGATGACAGTTATATTAATAAATCTACAGTAAGTTGTTTTATAAATTTTACTTTTCTTGCTATTACGGTTACATAACAAGAGAAAATATTGGAATTGTATCAAATTTGCCTATTTCATTTAATATCTCAGGATGGAGTAAAGATTAAGAAATGAAAAGTGGAACATTAGCTTGTGTTTAAGGGGCATTAATGGTAACAAATTTTGGTGGTTAAAGGTTGAAGGGATGGGGAGACAGTGAATAGTCACATGTCATATCTGAAGAGAGGTCGGACTTAATGAAGATTTTACTTGTTATTAGCATTTACAGTTTTTTATAAACCTCATCTATATCCTCAAAATTCAGCTTTTTGCCATCTTATAGTAGTAAAAAATATATAAAGTTTTTTTATAACAACAAAAGCTCATAACAGATGGTGTCAAGCACAATTATATTTATTATGCTTAATAATATAAAATTTTTTAATAAAATCTCATAACAACCAGGAATGTTGTGCAACTTGTTGCTGGATTTTTGAATATTTGATTTCAAAAATGTAACTAGAGAGTAATCATTATAAAGGTAAATAGGCCTAAGCTCCCTGGTCTCTCTTACATTTGTAATTAAATAAACAAAGAAAAAAGTTCAGGAAATGATTTAAATGTAACAAACCCCACTTATACACATGATGAGTAAACCCTTACATATTGTATTCATCTGCAGCACTAGTGGTATAAGGGTTAATATAGGTTTACACATTTTAATTTGGGTCTCCCTAATATTAGTTCTAGTTATGGTACTGTTTAAACCCTTTAACTTATAAACAAAACTATACTACTTAAATTCACCACATACAAAAAACCTTTGTAACTCCAGTGATACGTGTTTACACACCAGCGAACATTTTTGACCCCATTCGGGTCTTCATCAGGCTACATTTATGAGGAATTCGAATGCGTGTGGAATGGAACATTAAAACAAACTGAATGCGATTCAAAATTTAGAAAAACAAATTTAAGAATAAAAATGGAACATTATGCACATGCTGAAACGACAGTTAAGCACACGTAACATCACGTTTGCAAAACAGCAAAAGCAGACAAAATATACGCAATTCAAAATCAGTTACGGGAGTGGGGTTTCCTCATAACAAAACTTCCACGTGCTAGATATCCTGACTGCATCCATGGAGTTGATGCACGTACTACATAATCCTGCTTTATATATTTCAAGAGTCTCCATGGCTCTCAGTTGATCAGTACGATGTGAGAGCCTGATCAGACGGGCATTTTATATGTCAGCCGTGATTCCCGGTTCCGTGGCAACCGTTGATAGGGCGGTGGTGTGTTTTTTATTGTCAATGTCATATTTATGCTCCTGAAGCTGTTTATGAAGGGAACGTTTGGTTGAGCCTACATAAACCAAACGGCTGTTAAATCTGTCATCCCGAAGTGGGACAGCATATACCCCTGGTGCGTGTTTCAAGTCAATTGTGTCTTTTCCGTTGCAAAGTAAGTTGTAAACAGATCTTGGCCTACTGTAAGCTATCTTAGTTTTAGTGATGAATGAAATTTCCCTGTATATTTTATCAAGATGGTGGTTGTATCCTACGATTTTTCTTGCACATTTATTATCCAAAGACTCCCCAAGGGCATTGGTAGTGTGATGTGCGTTTGCCTGTGTGTAAGCGTGATCAATATTATATATTAAGTTCTTATTATACCCGTGCTGTGTGGCCATTTCCTGAATGTGTCTTAGCTCAGCTGTGGTGTCTTCGTAATTAGAGTGGTGCGTGAACACCCTCTTAGTTAAGGCCCGAAAAGCTGCGATCTTGTAGGCGTACGGATCCTCTGAGTTAGCCGGGATGAAGAGTGGTACATAGGACTTTTTGTAATAGACTTTGGATGTGATCACACTATCCTTAATTTGAAGGTCCAAGTCAGAAAATGCATGACAGTATTGCTTTTTTGGTCCAATTTGATGTTCAGGCCATAAGGGTTGTCGTTCATTAAGTTAATGAACTGGTTGATGTTGGGTTCTGTTTTCCAAATGATAATAATATCATCAACATACCTCCTGTACAGGAGGATGTTGGAAACATACACGGGGATGATTTGATGTTCCAGCTTCCTGATTACCAGCTCATGTAAATCACCCGAGAGAGGGCTCCCCATGGGAACACCCCGCTTTTGAAGGTAAGTTTTGTTATTAAAACAGAAGAAGGACAAGTAACACAATATGTGCGTTAACTCTCTTCTAGTGTGTGGAAGTTTTGTTATGAGGAAACCCCACCCCCGTAACTGATTTTGAATTGTGTATATTTTGTCTGCTTTCGCCGTTTCACAAACATGATGTTGCGCATGCTTAACTGTCGTTTCAGCACGTGCATAATGTTCCATTTTTATTCTTAAATTTGTTTTTCTAAATTTTGAATCACATTCGGTTCATTTTAATGTTCCATTCCACATGCATTTGAATTCCTCATAAACGTAGCCTGATGAAGACCCGGATGGGGTCGAAAACATTTGCTGGTGTGTAAACATGTATCACTGGAGTTACAAAGGTTTTTTTGTATGTGGTGAATTGTATTTTCTCTGGTGTTTGCGAAGAGGTTCATTTCTTATATACTACTAAAAATTATAAGAGAATCAATAAACTATAAAATGAGAAATATTTCAATTTTTTCTTGAATCAATTTATAAATGATATTTGGAATAGGATACAAAAATACAAAAAGGATTTTTTGTAAATACACATTTTGTATATACAAATTGAATAATTATATGCAGAAAACCCTGAATTATACTAATAAATGGGAGATCAGATTAACTATCAGGCTAGAAGTTGGCGATTTAATAATATAAATATTCATCCCAAGTTGTCATAGTGTGTAAACCTGTTATCTTGTAAATTAATTGATCTGGAAGTGCAGATCTAATTGAGTTCTGGGTAAAAAAATTGTCATCACAACTTCATTATAAGCAAAAGTTATGGGTTTAAATCTTTCCCGGGATCAATTTTTTTTTAGAATAATCTGAATTAATTTATTTCTAATTATTAAATTTCATATAAGATGATGGCAAAACTGCCTACCTTTAGTTCAAATTACATAATATCTGTATACTTAAATAGTCAAGTTCTAGCCAGATAGTTAATTTAAGTTAACCCAGATAGTTAATTTAAGTTAACCTTTCAACAGTTGGATAGTAAGGTATGGTGCTATCCCTAAGTAGTGGAGAATAAACGTGGGAAATTTTAGAAGTATTTTTCCATGCATTGTTTCTCATTACCATTTCAGAAAAAGATTTTGTAAACAGTTATATCTAGTAAAGAAAAGTCTTTTTTTTTTATTGTTACATAATTCATTTTTATGTGAATTTTTTTCGCGGTTTTTGGTGATACCCCAAAAGAATTTAACGGATATATTCATCCCTCACCACTGCCACACGACCGCCCTGGACAGATATATCCGTCCCTCACGGTCGAGTGGTTAATTCAGCTCTATCATATGGTAATTATAAGTAATAGATTTGTAACAATCAATAATTGTTTAATTAAATAATTATAATGATTATTTATTAGTTAGAAATTCTTATAATCTGAAAAATATTCTAAATTGATTGTATAACATGATATTCCCTCTTTCTAGTTTATGAATTGTCCAGTTTATGAGAATTCATAATTCCCATAAACTGGACAATTAAATTACAAGTTATATGTTTGATTCTAACTTCAAGATATTCTTTTTCTAGATGTTTACAAATTTAATTAATTATTCTAAATTCATTGTTGATACTACTTTTAGTATTATGTTTTTAATATATGAGTAACTCAAGCATTAAAGTGTTCATTTACTAATACTAAACTATTCATTTGCTTTATTAATGCTATTGAGTTTGCAGTGTCAAAATTGTACAAAAGTAAATTGAAATGAAAACTGCAATAATTGATTTACAAATGTAGTCAATATTCTCAATTAATGAACTAAAACATTCATAAACTGGGAATATTGGGTATATATGCATTAATATGCTAACATAATATGTTAACTGTTAACTTTATCATCAGAAATTTTTTGTTCAGTATCAAATTTTTACACTTTCTTTTACTATATCATTTTCTTTGACATCAGATTTTCATTTTCAGATTTAATCATTCATTATCTGACTCAAGTAACATCTGCTGCAATTCTTTCTCGTTAAAAAGATACATTGAAGGAACATAAATTGTCTTCTTAAAACCATCTTTCACATTCACCCTTGACAAAAACAATTTTTTTAGCCTCAAGTGAAAGGTTGTCTATATAATTGAAAAATTTTTTGTTCTTGGTAAATGTTAAAGACTGTTTTAAGAAGACAATTTGTGTTCCTTCAATGTATATTTTTAATATGTAAACTATGTCAACCAGTTCTAATCAATCAATCTTTATTGTCAATTTGATCTTCAATAATCTCCATTTTCAAACAGAAAACAAAAGAACATCTAAAACACTAACAAAATACTTTATTAGAATGTAGTGTATCTCAGGCACAATTTAAGGTATTGTTGAGAAAAACAAAGTTTTTCCTAGCAAAAAAGAACTGACAAAGCAATTCTAGATAATTAATGTTGCCAGTCTCTTCAAGGAAGTTACTCAAAGTTGCAGGTTCTATACCATTTCAAAACAAATATTTAAAAATTTATTCTGAATGTATTTGTGAGATTAGCTGTGACCTCCAAAGAGTTAAAATTTAAAGTTATATCAATCTTTATTATTATTACAGTTTTAAAATTAATAATAATAAAAATGCCACTAACCCCAAAACAGTCTCTAGCAATTTATTACTCCTTAGATAAACTGAGTAACTCTTTAGAAGGTTGCTTGTGACTAGGTTAGGATCCACCACTTTAGAGTGTAATGATGATATACAATAAAGCACGACACTAAAAAGTACTCTTATGAATTTTTAAAAATTATTTCATCATTATTAATGCAAATTAATTTTAAACATGGATTAGCATCTTATATGAAAAGTTTTAGTTGGAAAAAATTCTTTAAAAAAATCATAATCATCATTAAAAGATGAAAATAACAGAAAATTGCAAATTTTTTTGCTCAAACTATTGATACAATAAAAGTTACATTATTCATATGCATAATAGAGTTAATTGTTTTTGTTTCTGAGAGAAAGAGGAAAGCAGTTAATTACTACAATTTATAAGTTTCAAACCATTTTTAAAATATTTGAAAAACTACAATATTTTAACTTATTCTTTTAGTTGGTTTTTGATCTTCCCCCTGTAATACCTGATTTATCTGAACAATTAGAAGAAATTTTAGATCATCCAGAAAAGCTTTCTATTTATGATTTAGATAATGTTCAGAGGTAAGAGAATTAATCTTTGAATTAATTAAAATTGCTATTTTTAAAATATCAATTATGTTTCAATTAATTTAATATTATTTGTTTTATTATCCATTACCCATACTATCCATGTATGAAAATTAATAATTTTTTTATTTAAGACATATACCTCGAAAACCAAATATATCTTCATTATTTACAACGGAGTTATGTCCTTTACAAACAACTTTAAAAGCTGAGAGGAACATGACCACTGGTGAAGTAATAAAGTTTAACGAAGTAAATAAATTGCTTATATAATTATGTTTTTTAATGAAAAAATTATTACTTAGTATTTAATATCAATTATAATATATAAGAATATATTAATAACATAATAATTGTTATAATCATACTAAAATTGCTTTTCCTATATATATTTTAATAATGTTGGATAAAATTTGATAAATGTAAATATACTAAAATGTTTATTTTGAATAATAATGTTAAATAATACACCCAAATTCTAGCAGTAAACTGTAATTTTGGAGACAGACATCCACACACATCTGGACCAGGCAAAACTTAAACACAATTTAATTAACAAAGCATACATATGGCACTTGAAAATAATTGAAATTTACAAGGCAACAAGGGAAGAATCTGCCTTCAGCTATAAAAGCAGCAATTCTCTGGCCTAGGTGTGGATATTCAAAAAATTACATCTTAAGATCAGACATATTACTAGCACAAACTGATCAACTGGAACTTATAAGTGCTGAATTATAAATATTCCCACACATGTGGAATTCTATTTTTACAAATTAAAACATTTTTTACTAGCATTGTTCTATGTTCAAAAGACTTCAGAACCTGAAGATGCAGGCTTAAGACCACTGAAAACATTTTTTCTACATTGTAAATATTTGACTTTACTGCTGGAGTTTGGATGTATTATGTAAGTTTAGTATTTCTCCAGTTACAATAGTAGTATTTAAATTATTATTAAAATATATTTTTATAACATATATTTTGTCTTATGAAAGTGTAATAAAAACATAAATTTTTATAACTTCTATGATATTTAACATAATATTATTTAAAACAAGAATTCTTAACCATGTTCCTGTCATGGACATCTTAGAAGTCTGTTGAAGCCTATGGATTTTTTCTCAGAATAATGCTTCTAAATGCATAAAATAGAATGTATAGAATTACAAAGATAACTAATCATATTGAAATACAGTTATCAAAATACTAAAAACACAAATTTGTGAAATATTAATATACTAGTTGTACCCATTAAAATATTGTTACAATTGTAAACAATTTTTAAATTACAGATAAAGAGGAAAAATAAAGAAGGAAATAAATTTATTAATATAAGACTTGTAAAGTATCTCAGTATACAACATTTTTTGTGTAAATATCTTCATTGTTAGATAATCTATTCATTTCTGAATGAAAATTTAAGTTGTCAACATTTAATCAAATGTGGTTTTTCATTTCCTTCTTGCCTATCTGTAAGTTTTCCTTTGCTTAGATGTCATTTTATTTGAAAGAAATGACATCAGTCCTCCTGACTAGACTTTAATTTATGAGCAGTTAAGGTATGAAACTACTATCCTGGGATCTGGGAACAAATTCAGATGGGTCAATAAATCCCAGATATGTTTTTGCAGTGATATGTCTTGGATATGTTAGTTAGGTCTTACCCATTACCACTCAGTTGCCTCATTGTGAAAATACTTTCATATCATTCATAAATATCACAGACTAATCAAATAAACAAATACTAATGTTTCTTAGGCTAATTTTTCTGCTTAACTTAAAATAATTTTTTTTGATTCTGATGAAACCGTGTTGTTGATTAAAATAATTTAATTAAACAATTTGGTAATTTTATTTGTTATCAAATTAAATTCTAAGATTGTGATGAAAGTTTTAACAGTTTAACTTACATTTAGAGAATTGCAATTGATGTCAAATTTTTCTGAGTATTTTCATAACGAGTCCTAACTTTTAAGAAGAAATTTATATTTGTTAAATTAGATAATTTAAATTTGCATAAAACAAAATATAATTGATTAATTTGGAAATCAAAGTTAATTATGCAAATTAATTAGTGTAGTTTATTCTGAAGTTCTAGAAATTACACATATTAAAACTTACTAAAAAATTTAATTCTTTAATTTAATAAATATTTGAGAATAGCACTCAATTTATTTCCATTTTTCAATACAGCAGAGTCTCGAAAACTCGGCACTCGATAACCCGGCAGTCCAGATAACTCGGCCACACCCTGGCAGGGCAAAAAAATCCTTAGTTAATTAATTTTCATTATAGACAGCCTTATGCCTCATAAAGTATTTTTCTGAGGTCTGTCTTATCAGGTAAATTACTGTACACAGTGTATTCATTAATTTTCATTTTCATGTAGTAAAGGCTCTATGCCTTCATAAAGGACATACTTTTCCTTTGTTTAAGGGTATTTGGGCATTTTATTCTCTGTTGTATTCTCAAGTAAACAATACATACAAGTACAGTACAGTATTTTCTGAAGAAACACTCGTACTTATTTTTTTTTAACCCCATTCCTGATAACCCGGCATTTTCACAAACTCAGCCACCCTTCGGTCCATTAGGCCAAGTTTTTGAGACTCTACTGTATCATTTTTCTATATTAGATTAGCTTTTATAAATTATCTTATAAAAATTATTTTCATTCACACATAATGCTAATTTATTAGGTTATTATTGAAGATAATGCATCAAATTCAAAAAATTCAATGTCATTTAAACGAGCTCCAGATGTGACCACAGATGTGAAAGGAAATCCCAATAATCTTCCATTTTGGCCAGGTGGTTTTGATGATTATTCTTTTGAAAAATTGAAGGATAACATTAAGAATCAAGATATTGACTTTGTCAATGGTCAGTAAAATATATATTTTGATAAAATATATAAAAGTGAAANTCAACATACCTCCTGTACAGGAGGATGTTGGAAACATACACGGGGATGATTTGATGTTCCAGCCTCCTGATTACCAGCTCATGTAAATCGCCCGAGAGAGGGCTCCCCATGGGAACACCCCGCTTTTGGAGGTAAGTTTTGTTATTAAAACAGAAGAAGGATGAGTAACACAATATGTGCGTTAACTCCCTTCTAGCGCATGGAAGTTTTGTTATGAGGGAACCCCACCCCCGTAACTGATTTTGAATTGTGTATATTTCGTCTGCTTTCACCATTTTGCAAACATGATGTTGCGTGTGCTTAACCGTCGTTTCAGCACGTGCATAATGTTCCATTTTTATTATTAAATTTGTTTTTCTAAATTTTGAATTGCATTCGGTTCATTTTAATGTTCCATTCCACATGCATTTGAATTCCTCATAAACGTAGCCTGATNGTTCATTAAGTTAATGAACTGGTTGATGTTGGGTTCTGTTTTCCAAATGATAATAATATCATCAACATACCTCCTGTACAGGAGGATGTTGGAAACATACACGGGGATGATTTGATGTTCCAGCTTCCTGATTACCAGCTCATGTAAATCACCCGAGAGAGGGCTCCCCATGGGAACACCCCGCTTTTGAAGGTAAGTTTTGTTATTAAAACAGAAGAAGGACAAGTAACACAATATGTGCGTTAACTCTCTTCTAGTGTGTGGAAGTTTTGTTATGAGGAAACCCCACCCCCGTAACTGATTTTGAATTGTGTATATTTTGTCTGCTTTCGCCGTTTCACAAACATGATGTTGCGCATGCTTAACTGTCGTTTCAGCACGTGCATAATGTTCCATTTTTATTCTTAAATTTGTTTTTCTAAATTTTGAATCACATTCGGTTCATTTTAATGTTCCATTCCACATGCATTTGAATTCCTCATAAACGTAGCCTGATGAAGACCCGGATGGGGTCGAAAACATTTGCTGGTGTGTAAACATGTATCACTGGAGTTACAAAGGTTTTTTTGTATGTGGTGAATTGTATTTTCTCTGGTGTTTGCGAAGAGGTTCATTTCTTATATACTACTAAAAATTATAAGAGAATCAATAAACTATAAAATGAGAAATATTTCAATTTTTTCTTGAATCAATTTATAAATGATATTTGGAATAGGATACAAAAATACAAAAAGGATTTTTTGTAAATACACATTTTGTATATACAAATTGAATAATTATATGCAGAAAACCCTGAATTATACTAATAAATGGGAGATCAGATTAACTATCAGGCTAGAAGTTGGCGATTTAATAATATAAATATTCATCCCAAGTTGTCATAGTGTGTAAACCTGTTATCTTGTAAATTAATTGATCTGGAAGTGCAGATCTAATTGAGTTCTGGGTAAAAAAATTGTCATCACAACTTCATTATAAGCAAAAGTTATGGGTTTAAATCTTTCCCGGGATCAATTTTTTTTTAGAATAATCTGAATTAATTTATTTCTAATTATTAAATTTCATATAAGATGATGGCAAAACTGCCTACCTTTAGTTCAAATTACATAATATCTGTATACTTAAATAGTCAAGTTCTAGCCAGATAGTTAATTTAAGTTAACCCAGATAGTTAATTTAAGTTAACCTTTCAACAGTTGGATAGTAAGGTATGGTGCTATCCCTAAGTAGTGGAGAATAAACGTGGGAAATTTTAGAAGTATTTTTCCATGCATTGTTTCTCATTACCATTTCAGAAAAAGATTTTGTAAACAGTTATATCTAGTAAAGAAAAGTCTTTTTTTTTTATTGTTACATAATTCATTTTTATGTGAATTTTTTTCGCGGTTTTTGGTGATACCCCAAAAGAATTTAACGGATATATTCATCCCTCACCACTGCCACACGACCGCCCTGGACAGATATATCCGTCCCTCACGGTCGAGTGGTTAATTCAGCTCTATCATATGGTAATTATAAGTAATAGATTTGTAACAATCAATAATTGTTTAATTAAATAATTATAATGATTATTTATTAGTTAGAAATTCTTATAATCTGAAAAATATTCTAAATTGATTGTATAACATGATATTCCCTCTTTCTAGTTTATGAATTGTCCAGTTTATGAGAATTCATAATTCCCATAAACTGGACAATTAAATTACAAGTTATATGTTTGATTCTAACTTCAAGATATTCTTTTTCTAGATGTTTACAAATTTAATTAATTATTCTAAATTCATTGTTGATACTACTTTTAGTATTATGTTTTTAATATATGAGTAACTCAAGCATTAAAGTGTTCATTTACTAATACTAAACTATTCATTTGCTTTATTAATGCTATTGAGTTTGCAGTGTCAAAATTGTACAAAAGTAAATTGAAATGAAACCTGCAATAATTGATTTACAAATGTAGTCAATATTCTCAATTAATGAACTAAAACATTCATAAACTGGGAATATTGGGTATATATGCATTAATATGCTAACATAATATGTTAACTGTTAACTTTATCATCAGAAATTTTTTGTTCAGTATCAAATTTTTACACTTTCTTTTACTATATCATTTTCTTTGACATCAGATTTTCATTTTCAGATTTAATCATTCATTATCTGACTCAAGTAACATCTGCTGCAATTCTTTCTCGTTAAAAAGATACATTGAAGGAACATAAATTGTCTTCTTAAAACCATCTTTCACATTCACCCTTGACAAAAACAATTTTTTTAGCCTCAAGTGAAAGGTTGTCTATATAATTGAAAAATTTTTTGTTCTTGGTAAATGTTAAAGACTGTTTTAAGAAGACAATTTGTGTTCCTTCAATGTATATTTTTAATATGTAAACTATGTCAACCAGTTCTAATCAATCAATCTTTATTGTCAATTTGATCTTCAATAATCTCCATTTTCAAACAGAAAACAAAAGAACATCTAAAACACTAACAAAATACTTTATTAGAATGTAGTGTATCTCAGGCACAATTTAAGGTATTGTTGAGAAAAACAAAGTTTTTCCTAGCAAAAAAGAACTGACAAAGCAATTCTAGATAATTAATGTTGCCAGTCTCTTCAAGGAAGTTACTCAAAGTTGCAGGTTTTATACAATTTCAAAACAAATATTTAAAAATTTATTCTGAATGTATTTGTGAGATTAGCTGTGACCTCCAAAGAGTTAAAATTTAAAGCTATATCAATCTTTATTATTATTACAGTTTTAAAATTAATAATAATTAAAAAGCCCCTAACCCCAAAACAGTCTCTAGCAATTTATTACTCCTTAGATAAACTGAGTAACTCTTCAGAAGGTTACTTGTGACTAGGTTAGGATCCACCACTTTAGAGTGTAATGATGATATACAATAAAGCACGACACTAAAAAGTACTCTTATGAATTTTTAAAAATTATTTCATCATTATTAATGCAAATTAATTTTAAACATGGATTAGCATCTTATATGAAAAGTTTTAGTTGGAAAAAATTCTTTAAAAAAATCATAATCATCATTAAAAGATGAAAATAACAGAAAATTGCAAATTTTTTTGCTCAAACTATTGATACAATAAAAGTTACATTATTCATATGCATAATAGAGTTAATTGTTTTTGTTTCTGAGAGAAAGAGGAAAGCAGTTAATTACTACAATTTATAAGTTTCAAACCATTTTTAAAATATTTGAAAAACTACAATATTTTAACTTATTCTTTTAGTTGGTTTTTGATCTTCCCCCTGTAATACCTGATTTATCTGAACAATTAGAAGAAATTTTAGATCATCCAGAAAAGCTTTCTATTTATGATTTAGATAATGTTCAGAGGTAAGAGAATTAATCTTTGAATTAATTGCTATTTTTAAAGTATCAATTATGTTTCAATTAATTTAATATTATTTGCTTTATTATCCATTACCCATACTATCCATGTATGAAAATTAATAATTTTTTTATTTAAGACATATACCTCGAAAACCAAATATATCTTCATTATTTACAACGGAGTTATGTCCTTTACAAACAACTTTAAAAGCTGAGAGGAACATGACCACTGGTGAAGTAATAAAGTTTAACGAAGTAAATAAATTACTTATATAATTATATTTTTTAATGAAAAAATTATTACTTAGTATTTAATATCAATTATAATATATAAGAATATGTTAATAACATAATAATTGTTATAATCATACTAAAATTGCTTTTCCTATATATATTTTAATAATGTTGGATAAAATTTGATAAATGTAAATATACTAAAATGTTTATTTTGAATAATAATGTTAAATAATACACCCAAATTCTAGCAGTAAACTGTAATTTTGGAGACAGACATCCACACACATCTGGACCAGGCAAAACTTAAACACAATTTAATTAACAAAGCATACATATGGCACTTGAAAATAATTGAAATTTACAAGGCAACAAGGGAAGAATCTGCCTTCAGCTATAAAAGCAGCAATTCTCTGGCCTAGGTGTGGATATTCAAAAAATTACATCTTAAGATCAGACATATTACTAGCACAAACTGATCAACTGGAACTTATAAGTGCTGAATTTTAAATATTCCCACACATGTGGAATTCTATTTTTACAAATTAAAACATTTTTTACTAGCATTGTTCTATGTTCAAAAGACTTCAGAACCTGAAGATGCAGGCTTAAGACCACTGAAAACATTTTTTCTACATTGTAAATATTTGACTTTACTGCTGGAGTTTGGATGTATTATGTAAGTTTAGTATTTCTCCAGTTACAATAGTAGTATTTAAATTATTATTAAAATATATTTTTATAACATATATTTTGTCTTATGAAAGTGTAATAAAAACATAAATTTTTATAACTTCTATGATATTTAACATAATATTATTTAAAACAAGAATTCTTAACCATGTTCCTGTCATGGACATCTTAGAAGTCTGTTGAAGCCTATGGATTTTTTCTCAGAATAATGCTTCTAAATGCATAAAATAGAAT